GAGGTAAACAGAAACAGGGAAGTTTCTGGAAGTCTTTATTATAAGCCACGCCGAGCACAACAGAACATAAACAGCGTTTTAACAGCTCCTGTATAACCAACTCATACTTCAACACGACGGGGCTCAAACTGCTCTAAACTTTCGCTACCGTTCTCTCTCGCGCGCGCCCTACGCACATATATACGCACACAGCCATTCACAGACAGACATACGCTACTAGTGTAACACGCAGTAGCCATCGTTGTTTAAGCCTTCCTAAAAACACATTAAAATAAATATGTTTTACAATACACATATGCTACATGATACTACCTGATATTACTTTGATGGTGATGCTTAAGAGTCATCAATTACTTTTGTTGGCATCTCAATTACAATAATGAAACAAAGAGAAACATTACACTTTCAAGGTTTTATCTCAATACATATATCTGATCAAACATTGTACTGTTACCAACTTTTATATATATATATATATGCAACCTGTTAAGAAATGCCTTGGAACCTTTGATTGTAAAACATAAAACAAAATTTTATACAGTTTAAACACAATCTTATTGAGTCATCCATAGTATTTAGGGATTCTTATGATGTTTGTCTGTATTATATTCTGTATCACAGAGGCCATAAAAGCTCAAGGAATATTGGGCTAATTTTAACTTAATATTTAATATTTCACAGTTAGGCCATTAACCATACAATTTAGATTACCACACCCAGATAGCAACCATATGACCATAATTATTTTTACACACTCACACACACACACACACAGTACATATAGTACATAAGTACACACACACACACACACACACACATATAGTACATATAGTACATAAGTACACACAAATGTACTAATATATGTAATAATAATATATAATGCAATATATAAAATTAGTGACAACTACATTGCCGTATTTAAAAAGAGCATTTACTCTTTCGACTATGTGTTTTGAGTAAAATATACCACTTGCTTTTATTCATACTATATTCTACCTATAGCTTACAGTAGTTTCCATTTCTGTAGGCTAAATGATTTGTTATATTATAAATCCTTGTCACCATAATAACTAAAAATAAACTCATAAAATAATTAAAAGACAAAATTCACAGCAGTTGTAATACAAAACCAAAGTTCCAATCTCACAATATATGACATTAAAAATGTACACAAGCAAAACATTAATAATAGCTAAAGGCTTACCTGACAACAGGGCCCCCAGGAGAACCAAAACAATGGCTGATATTTTCATATCGGCAGTCTCCAAGCGCTTTGACGGTGTCTTTTCTGAGAGGTGCTGCTGTGAGTGCTGGTGACCAGCAGGGCAGAGGATCACGTACCTTTAGACCTACTACTACAATCTGAACACTGTTAACCTTGGCTGCAGTAATTAAAAAAAAAAAACAGTGTGAAGATAACACAAGTTGTGTTGGTGTTCTGATATGCTGCTAACAGCGTTGTTACCAATAAATTTTTTCACCTTTGCGTCTTGTATCTTTTACTTGTTTTTTTTTTTTTTTCATCTATATTACCTTTAAGTATACAGAGCAAGGCATGGGGTACAAGGGAAGAACAGTGAATTTGGGGCTCATACCTAGGAAAATAGGAAAAGTGTTTAGTAAATATACAATGGGATTTGCACTGTCAGGCAAGCCGTGATATACAAAAATGACAGTAGTTCAACAATTTTACCAGTACTGCCAAATGTAGAAAAGCCGTCCGTTATGTTGTTTTACAAGCTTTAAATTGTACCCAATGCAAGCGGAGATGAGATAGTATTGAAGTAGTATAGTCTTTACTAATATACAGTATTAATAAATATAATATTATGATACCGTATTTTCCGGGACTATAAGTCACTCCAGGTTATAAGTTGCACTAGCCAGCTAGAGTGCCCTCTAGCGGCTGTCAGTGTGAAAATAACGAACGAGTTTGACACCCCTGCTATATCGTGTTCTGGTATTGCCTCTCTATCTCCAAGTTCCATATTCTTAAATTAAAGAATTACCGTATTTTTTTCCGGATAAGAAGTTGCTCTGTAGTGTAAGTCCCAAAGTAAGTACAGGAGTAGCAGATATTGGTACTAAAGGGCCCTCTAGCGGCTGCCAGTGTGAAAATAACGAACATGTGAATTTTATGTGGTACAGGAGTAGCAGATGTGAGTGTGAAAATAATACAAATGTGAAATTATATATTTAAATATATAAGTCGCACTTAAGTATAAGCGAACCCAGCCAAAAGATGAGTAAAAAGTGTGATTTATAGTCCGGAAAATACGGTACCATAACAGCAGCATGCGTTACATTAAATAATAATAAAAAGTGCTGCCTATTGTGCCTGGTTTGGAAATCAAGCGTAGCAGATTTTAGACTAAAATGAAGAGTAAAAACTGCATTCATTTAGTATGCCAGTCACAATGGTAGGTTTTAATGCCTTCCAGCAAGAGTTACTTACTTATTGCCCTCTCCATCTTTGCATCTTTTCAAAATATAACTTGCAGTGCTTCCTGAGTTTCTCTGGAAATACAGGGGTCATGCCACGCTGCTTGAACACAATTTGTTTATATAACTGTGAGTTTGATTGAGCCTGATTGCAGGAGCACACATGATGGCACTGATTACAGCCGTAAGAATCATCTATAAATAACGAGCGATAAGCTGATAAAGCGGCATGCCTCGCACGATAAGCTGACGTTCAAAGTATATTTATGAGTGATTTTATCAGTGACGGTTTTTCAACTGCGGGCTTTTTATTTTCTTGACCCTAAACTTTCCAATGCTTAATCCTCATAAACCTGTAGGCATTTACGACACATCAGGTAAGAGGAGCATAGTCCCTGGATAGATATTTATTTATGTTTCCAGCTCGACCGTTACCACAGCTGCTGATACAGTAACTGTAACACGTTACAACAATAACTTTAAAATAACAATAATAATAATAATAATAATAACAACAATGTGAAGTGTTATTATTAATACAATTATACATTATTAATATAACATCATAGAATAATAATAATAGAATGTATTTATTATTAATATAATTGACATTATTTATTTACATTATTGATGTAATTGACATACTAACCTTATGACTTATTCTTGTAAATAAAGAATACAGGTAAACATAACATATTATTAACATGTTTTTTATTGAAAACATAAAGATGAATAATGAATCATGAATTATGGTCACATTTATTAAAGAAAACAATGGAATATTGTGAAAATTGTTTACTCGATTCACTCCGTCTGTCATCATTCTGGCCGTCTATATTTAACGTGGTTAGTGGTCAGTCTTTTGTTCATGCTGGGCCTGAGACGGTGAGGTGAGTTGAAGACTGGGATAACCACATCATGCCCAGATGATAACCAAGAATGATGTCCGGTTGTCTTAAAAGAAATTGTTTTTAGTTGCTAACTCAAATGAAGCCCCATGTATTTTATTAATTCACATATAGTCTATATTCGGCACGGGCAAACTAAGGCCCGGAGGCCGGATGTGGCCCATTTAGCTTTTAAATCCGGACGGCCAAACTTTTCCAAATTCTATAATATATTTATATTATCAATTATACTTCTGCCTTTTTGTCAGTAGATGGTCGTAGAAAATGATAAAAAACATTTTTAGCATTTTAGCCTTTATGCATGACTCGGACCCCCTGTTCAATTTTCGGAACAATTGTGGGCCGCGTAAGGACCCCCTGTTCAATTTTCGGAACAATCGTGGGCCGCGAGTCGTAAAGTTTGCCCACGCCTGGTGTTTATAGACGTTTTTTTTTCTGACTGACAAGTGATTGAACTCCATCTGGGTCGGTGGAGCTCATCTGCGCACCTCTGTGGATAACGTCGGGCTGACAAATCGTTGTGGACGAAATGAGTCATTACACATTGACAGTTTATGCAAAGCTTTATTGGCACTATATAATATGATACACACATAATCAGCTACAGGTCCGTTTCAAAGAACATCAATCAGCTTATTTTACCACCGAAGGTTGAATACACAAGAATAAAGCATATCAAGTGGGTTATATAACACCAGAGAATTATTTTCCACACGTCTTGCCAAAACAGCCCTAGTCTAGATATTGTCTACAGGTCACCTTACACTTTTAACTTTTATGTCAGTTATTGCTCTTTCCTCCAATGAGAAAATGTACATTATTAGTAGTACTTTGGTGATGTGAAGCGTTTTGAGTGTCTACAAGGTGCTATGCAAATTATCATGTATTTCACGAAGCTGCAACACAAACCTAATCATGTATGAGTATACAGCAGCAGTTGGGATATAATAATATGCTTAGCAATGTCCAATATCATCTGCCTGGTATTAGCATAACTGTGTAATATCGGGACGAATTGTTAGCAGTTATTTTTTCCTCCTGACAATGAAAACCCGATAACACAATGCCTTGATTTGGCCAGATATGCTAATATCACTTAAAAAAAAAAAAATCTACAGATATTGCTAATTCCACAACAAGAGATGTGTGATCTGACCTTGTAATAGTTTTGGTATTTGGTAAAAATGGCTGCATACATCGTCATTGGTTGATATTGTGGTATTTGGATATTATCGACATATCACATAGCAACAAAAAGCTAATATCGGACATCCCTAAATATTACATTTTTCTTCTCTGATTAACCCATTGGTTCTCAATTATTTTCCGTCAGCCCCCCCCCC